AGAGTGGTCCTTTAAGTGTGTGTGCATCTGCACGCACTGGCGCATACCGCTGGTCGCAGGGTCGCGAGCCTGTAACCCCTGGACTCAGGTGCCCACCGGCCATGTGTTCCGCCCGGGGCCACGGATCAATTTTCGCACCGGGGCCCCATGGGTCATGTGTACGCCACTGGCACCAGCCGTCTCAGATCTAAGAATTTTGCATCTTAAGGCTTCTCTCAGAATCCATATGTTTATTTCTTCTTCTGTGCCATTTTGTGTCATTTTTTATGATAAGATATGCAAAGACACGTACCATAATATAAGGGAAAACAAGTTACAAAAGGAGCCCGGAGGCAGAAACTGATAGAAAAAAGGCATCGGAAGTAAAGACGCTGAGGCAGACGCCAATAGGCCTTCAAACAAGAGAAATAAACAAAAAAAACAGAGAAAATAACACGTCAGCAAAATACAAAACAGAAGAAAAATAATTGTTTTTTTTTATTTAACCCTTTAAGGACACATGACGTGTGACATGTCATGACTCCCTTTTATTCCAGAAGTTTGGCCTTTAAGGGGTTAAAGGGACAACTACAGCTTAATGTATAGTATACATCTTAATGTAGTTGTGTTGGTGAGTATAATAGCTCCCTTCAGGCATTTTCATGTAAACACTGCCTTTTCAGAGAAAAGCCCCTAGGGACACCTCCAAATGGCCACTCCTCAGATGGCCACTGGAGGTGCTTCCTGGCTCAGTGCTGCACAGTAAGCAGCCCTGCCGTTCAGCGTCTCCACACTCTGCATGGAGACGCCGAATTTTCCTCATAGAGATGCATTGATTCAATTGATGCATTGATTTAACTATTTGGCCCGCCCCCTTATGGATTTTAGCCAATCCAATGCTTTCCCTATGGGAAAGTATTGGATTGGCGAAAAATCTGTAATTTTGATGATGTCATCAAGGGGGTGGGGCCAGCGCCGGCAGAGCCGTGGAGAGCTGAAAGTAATGTGAGTTTTAAAACATTCTGAGGAGACTAAGGGGAGGAGGAGGGGGGAAGGGCAAGCCACCTAAATTGTGGGGTTTCACTACAGGGTCAGGAATACATGTTTGTGTTCCTGACCCTATAGTGATCCTTTAATATAGCTTCAGAGAAATCACATGATAACAAGTAGGCACCAAGAAAGGGAAAAAAACAAACAGACAATAAAACGGAAAAAGATTGTTATTTTTCATTCCTCATATATAGTAACAAGACGTAGATCCTCAAAAGGACTTAGATCTATATTCACCTGTATCAGAAATGGCAAGTACTGCCAGACTAAAGCCGGTCTCAACTATTCCGACCTCAGAAGGAAAGCCTCAAACAGAGCTGCATGAACATCCAGACGCCTGTTTTTACCGACAACTAGAAAAAAATAAAAATGTAAACAGCTCTAGAAGAATTCACAATGGAACTTTTATCGTTGGAGAAGAAAGTAAAGTATAATGAGGAGAAAATTGAAGATCTGGAATTTCAACCAGCTGATTCTCAGGAAACGCTAAAAAAGAAAGTTTTAGACCTAGAATCTAAACTAGCAGACATAGAAGACAGAATTGCGGCGGAAGGGTCTGCGTTTAAGAGGAATGCCAGAATCAGTGACAAAAACTAAATTGAGAAGAATATATGCTGAATTTATTTCGTCATCTGGGTATCCAGCCATCAACCACTGAGAATACACTAGAACAGGCATAGGCAACCTTCGGCACTCCAGATGTTTTGGACTACACATCCCATGATGCTTTGCCAGCAGTATGGGTGTAAGAGCACTATAGGGGATGTAGTCCATAACATCTGGAGTGCCGAAGGTTGCCTATCCCTTCACTAGAACGTTGTCATCTTCAGCATCCGAATCTCTACCAAGATGCTACACGACTGCAAGATCCATATTCTCCCTCATCCATCTTACTATACTAGGAAGAAAAGGAAACCATTTGCAATCTACACTAAAATTCTACGCCAGAAAAATACTCTATTTATTTGAGGATACCCTTGTAAATTTTTCATCTTTTATGAGTAAAAAGTAAAATTATGTACACACTTTTATTATAAAAATATCAAGGGGATAAAAAGTATTAGAAATGGTGTTGGTTATTTCACACTTTCAGACAAGGGGCTGGATTCTATTGAATGGTAACAGCATAGAGGATATTCCACAGACTTGAATCGTGCTAAGAAATATTTATAGAGAAGTATTAATAACATCTTTTTTGTTTTTCCCAGAAAGTGAGTTTGCCTGATGTTGCCTGTAAATAATCCCTATAGTGTACTACGTGCTGCAGTACAATGTGCTGTTAGCCTTTCCTATCTTCTCACCTTCCCTGGCTGACTGAAGTCATGGTGCAAAAAGGCAACTACAAAATGAGAAAGTGATAGCCAAAGAGAGCAAAACCAACCCCAAAGCAGTTTTTAAGTACAAAAATTCTAAAAAACAAAAAATGAAAGTGTAGGTACACTGAAAACCAGGATGGGGCTGTTTGTTAATTTAGACCAGGAAAAGGCAGACATTTTAAATAACTATTTCTCCTCAGTATATATTAAGGAAGAACCTATGGCTATAAATATGCAAGCAACTGCTGAAAAAAAAAAAAAAAAATTGTAATTGGATGACTCAAGGTGCTGCAGCAACTAAAGAAAGTTAATATAAACAAAGCTCCAGGGCCTGATGGTATTCATCCATGAGTACTTAAGGAACTAAGTGTGGAAATAAGTGAACCTCTGTTTTTGATCTTTCAAGATTATTTTCTTTCAGAAATTGTACTGGAGGATTGGAGGAAGGTAAGATTGGTTCCTATATTCAAAAAGGGTTCAAAATCCTTGCCTGGAAATTATAGACCTGTGAGCTTAACTTCTGTGGCTGGGGGAGTATTTGAAAGGCTATTAAGGGATAATATTTAGGAATTCATTGCGAAGAACGTTGTTATCAGCAAAAATGAGCATGGTTTTATGAAACCTAGGTCATGACAAACTAACTAAATTGCATTCTACAAAGAAGTAAGTAGAAGTATAGATTAGGGGGTTTTATAAAAATATGTGTTTTTTTCTGCCTGGAGATAATGGAGTTAATACAGTACATGACTCAAGCAGAGGGAAGGGATTGTATGTTTGTATATGGGAGTGTCATGCATTTAAACATGTCATTGGTCTGGGTGCCAGGCGGTCCATCACACAGTTCATCACAAAACTATTGTGTGGAAATCTATTCACAAACAGGACTATACATAGGACACAAGGTTATGCTTTTAGACTGGAAGAAAGGAGAATTAGTCTAAGGCAAAGAAAAGGCCATCTTGTTCGTTCTGCTCCTCTTCAGCTGTGCCACAGGAGCAGACGACACTGATGTATTCTCTTGCATTCGCGAGAGTGCAGCATTGAGGTCTATGGACCTCAATACAGCCAATTCCCTGCATCCTTTACTGGTGAAGGCTGTCGGGACTGACTCTTATACTCCACCCTGAGTCAGGCAGAGGAGACACACAGAGACAAAGTAGTTCCTGCTTTATTTCTGTATATCTCGTGACTGGGTTCGAAGTTCAGTGAAATTTCAGCACAGTGAAAATCAATATTTTATAAAGATTCTATCTGTATGAAATACACATTTTTCAGGGAGGGTGGTGTTAGTACTGCCTTAATATTTATTTGTTCTGTGTTGGCTTTGTGTGAGCTTGAGTTGTGTAGTGATGTTAATCTCGGCTTCGTTCTGCATTATTTTGATCTCTGGTTAAGACAGTAACGGACTCCCCCTCTGCCTGTGATCTATATAACAGAATAAAACACATGCTCCCTTCCTTCAATCTCAGTATTAAACCAATGCATTTATATTTGCATCTGTTGTGCATTATTAGTATGATACTGCCTGATAATAGAGACCAAAACAGAGCATAAAAGCCATTACACCCCCTACTCTTCATGGACAAACACCACATATTAAACTTGTAATGATAAAAAGATCAACACAGAAAGTGTTATTTACAGCGTTCCAATAAAACAACAGCCTCATAAACAGCCGTAAAACAGGTCTTCTCCACTGCGAAGAGTCTAAAAGGGGGCAAAGTCCGTACTTAGTGTATTTATAGACTTTGGCTTCAATTTTGGCAATAAAATGCCAAGTGACCTTGTAGATGATCTTCCCTGTTATTAAGCACTATATCCATAAACCTGAGGCGACGACATGTCTCAGCTGGCGAGGATGTGAGAGAAGGTCACAGCCAGCTCTGACTTTATCACGGACCCCCACGGGGACACTGTTAGGACCAGTTAATGGCTCACCAAACCACATTGTGGCAGTGAGAGGGACCGGCCCCATGGGGACACTGTTAGGACCAGGTAATGGCTCACCAAACCACATTGTGGCAGTGAGTGGGACCTAGTCCCATGGGGATACTGTTAGGACCAGGTAATGGCTCACCAAACCACATTGTGGCAGTGAGAGGGACCTGGTCCCATGGGGACACTGTTAGGACCAGTTAATGGCTCACCAAACCACATTATGGCAGTGAGAGTGACCTGGTCCCATGGGGACACTGTTAGGACCAGGTAATGGCTCAACAAACCACGTTGTGGCAGTGAGAGGGACCTGGTCCCATGGGGACACTGTTAGGACTAGGTAATGGCTCACCAAACCACGTTGTGGCAGTGAGAATGACCTGGTCTGGATCCACAGGCTAAATGTGAAACTGAAGGCAGGGCCAAATTTATTCTCCTTGCTGCCCCAAGGGAAGTTCTCCACGCACCCCTAACCCATGATCACTACAAGTCGCTGCTAAATAAGAGGAATATACAGTCACGTCCGCTTTTTGCTATGTCCAAGAGCAGAATAAGATTGCAATTATCTGACATTTTAGGCATTATAACGTTTAGGCATTTCATCTCATTGAAGTGGTTGTAGTGTTTGGAGTCCCCTGGCATTGTCCCTCCATTCATTGCTAAACATTTATTTATTTAATTTATAAAATATTTTAACTGGAAAGATACATTGAGATTTCTCTCGTTTTCAAATATGTCCTGGGTCCACAAAACATTGCATTGATACAATAGGGTACATTAAAATACAAAAACAATATTAATACACAATATATACAAAATGTAACATAGAACAGGTAGGCAATATATAATTAACCATGACAGGTGCATTCTGTTTTGAGGTATGTAGAGAGGGATCTCTTAAAGGACTTTAGGCTTTGGGAAGATTTGAAAGTGTGCGGGAGGTTGTTCCATAATTGCGGTGCTCTGTAGGAAAAGGAGGATCGAGCCGCTTTCTTTTTGTACTGAGGTAGACTAAATAAAGTGCTATTACTGGATCGGAGGTTATAGGAGGTGGCAACAGCGGGGGAGAACATTCTGCTCAAGTAGGGCGGGAGCTTCCCATAAAAGCTCTTATACATTAAATAAAGGTCCCTGGCCACTCCCAATTCCGCCCCCGCTGGAGGCGTGGCCCCGGCAGAGATTACACACTTAGTTCTAACCATAACGATTCCTATCAGCAATGAGCCAATCACAGCCACCCATTCCTGCTCAGGGTAATGTTTCCTCATTAACGCAAGAGTAGATGGGCCACAGGGACTCTCATTGGGCATCAAAACGATAACACTATAGGGTAAGGAACAGTGTTAAAAAAAAATTTAGTCCCTGGGCCACCCTTGCCTACCTCCCTGATCCGCCTCCATGCCTGAGATCGTCAATTCTGATGATCTCAGCGAAGGAGTAAGGGTGGGGGATGGAGCAAAACACAGCCCTGGCTAATCAGCATCTCCTCATAGAGATGCATTGAATTGATGCATCTCTATGGGGGATGTTCAGCATCTCCATGCAGAGCGTAGAGATACTAAATGTCAGTAAATGTCAGCATTCCCCTACCCTAGCTGTCTGGGTGACAGCCACTAGAGGTGTCCCTAGGGAGTACTGTAAACACTGCCTTTGTCAAACAAACAGAGTTTACTGCAAAAAGCCTGCAGAGACTGTCTATAGACACCAGAACAACTACATTACGCTGTAATTGTTCTGGTGACTAGAGTGTCCCTTTAAGCTAGTTAATCCTCGGTTGGGATTCACGCTAGCACCACATTCTATGGAGCTCACTGTGAGTGTATATAGTGATCCTGATGTCTTCACAATGCATAGCAACCATTAGCTGGGTAAGCACTACACCTACTGAGGCAGTAAACGCCAAGGGAAACAGTTAATTCAAATAAATCTGCATTTATACAGCCTGTACATTGATCTGGAAATGCAAACATAAAGATTATCACATGGAGTTCTTTTGAGACGCCTTTAAAGTGTTATTTTTTTTAAGTAGAAAACATAAGGACATAGCATATTCAGCAGATTTTTAGGCCAAAACTTGGAAAAATTCTCCACTTCACTTATTATGTCGTATAATTGCCAATTCTTCTCAATATGTTACAATTGATGTAATTAATGACACTTCTAACACTTGATATCATTTTGTTAGTCGACGGCAGCCTGAAAATTATAAATGGCAACTTACTGGTAAAATGGTAAAAATAAAGCAAAACAATACAATAATTTGGATATTTACATATTTATTTACTAAAAACATATATTTATGAAAAGTCCCCATAAAAATGAAGTGATATAATTTATTGAAACCTCGGAGGCTGCCCAAGTGTTTGAGTAGGTGGTAAGAAACCCAATGAGGGCCATGACAGACACCTCATTTCTACTACTCAATCTTAACCAACCTACTCCATCTAAGCAGTAATTTCCATGAAAACGTCTCGTTAGATCATAGTTACTCCATTTGAGATGAGTTGTCAGCTGGACGATGGTCTTGGTGTCGGGGGTGTAGAGAGGGCATGTAGGGAGATAGTCTCCTCATTTCCATCCTGTATTTTGTTGGCTCGTGGGGCGAATGTTCCTTTCACAGATCCTTGTACAGCATCCTTTATCTGAGGAAAGGAAAGGATGCTAATTATGGAGGGGTCTGGCAGCATCAGCCATAACTTGTCTTGACAAAGTCTCTAGTGACAGTAAGCGCCCACTGTGTCATGGTGAATACGTGAAATGGCAATTTTTAGGACATTGTGTTAATGTGCAAATGTTTTTACAGCTGTATAAACAAAGTGATTTAACTCCTACAAGGCAGAGAATTGAGCAGATAAGACTGCAGGGTACCATATATACATCAAAACTGCTTCATTAAGCTAAAGTGGTTTTGGTGGCTAGGCTGTCCCTTTAAATGCCATGTGCCTATAATCTCTCTAGATTTTAGTTATGAAAAATAAATATGAAATGTATATCCTCACTCAGTAGTCATACATGAATAATTGTCCATGCAGTTTCCATATTATCCCTGTCAGTGTGATGTCAGTATTTGTATCATGTGATTTTACTCCTATCTCATTGTCATATTTCTAGTTACGTGATATTTCTAGTTTCAGAATGGCATCGTAATGATGTCACTAGTTCCATTACCTCTTTCAGAGATACCACTCCTATAAGTCTGCCAGTGCTGGTGACATAAGCCGTGCGCAGTCCAAGAAGGTTAAACAGGTCATAAACCTGAGGAGAGATGGGGGTCGACACATAATATATAAATATACAAAATCACATCTTATGACGATGGACAAACATGGGATGGACAAGTATGTGTATCATTTCTGCCATTTTCAGATGGGATATGTATGTTCTATTGTATATCCTTACTTCCCTCTACTCGTGTTCAGCTAGTAAGTGTATCTCCTACACCCGACCCCACCTGACTTCCGGACAGGCATACGTTGTCCACCTTTGAAAATTATTACAAGACCGGAAGGCCTTTTTGGATGACGTCCTCTACTTCTGCTGGACCATATGGTGTAATCAGACTGGGATGTATGGTGTATTCAGACTGGGCCGCATGTTGTGCTCAGACTCATTCCCTTTTGTTCGGCGTGTGGTTCCCCTTTTTGTACATCTCCGAACATCGACCTCCCCTGGCTGTTAACCACAAATTAGGTGAATAACTCAAGTGCTTTCCCTGGGTATCCACCATTCGTATAACCAAACACATCTGTTCCAGTGCATGGTGGCCTATTGTCTCCCAAACACAGGCAGCCGTACATGGTCATTGAATGCCTGGAACTATTTTCGGTCACGCGGTCTTGCGAACCTGGGCAAATATGGTACTGCTGCCCGTTAAACTTTCTGACCAACTAGACAAACAATGTTCAGGAGATAGGAACTACCAACTGAGGGGAGCATTCGCTCCCTAAAAGCCAGGGGGAGCATTTGTCGGTTTTCGCAAAGGAACCCCTGAAAGAAGACCGGCTGTTGTCCTCAATTCTCTGGAACTGTTTTGGGCCATCGCCTCATGGCTGGCCAGTCAGAACTTTACCCGAATGGTGATTCCGTTCTACCGAACAATCTAAGCGCTATTTGGATATGTTGTGTGCTCAGATACGGGCTATTTGGGGATATAAAACTTGTGGGGTTCCTGTAAAATATGAATATGTTTTTGGGCGGTTTATGTATGTTTCCTGTATTTTCCTGTAACTGAGAGATAATCGATAGGGGATTGACTCTATTATCTCTTAGACAATGGGTCGCCTAGGAGGGGCTTGAGTATATTTTGTGTGGAGACGCCATGCTGGGGGTCTGTGCATAAAAGGCTGTGTTTTAACTGAATAAATCCGTAGTACTTCCAAAACTGTGTGTCGTCCGGTTACTAGGGGAATAGAGCTATTCACATTTCAGTGCCTTGTTCTTGAGTTCCTGTCTTCACGGATCCAGCGGAGGAAAAGTCCTTGTCAGGACTAGCACTCCACCACATGGTGCGTTCAGACTGGGCCTCATGTTGCATTCAAACTGGGCCGTATGGTGTGTTCAGACTGGGCCGTATGATTTTAGATGTTTCCGTCATAGAATTTCTATGTTAAAGCTGGATCACATGGGGGTGAGCAGCATCTGACTGCAGGCTGCATGGTAAATACTCATGGCATAAGGTGAACTACAAGAACACCTGGACATCTTATGGCGGTCTGTATAGTAAGGCCACACTATATAACATCCAAAGATACATGAGACTCAACTCAGGCTTCTGATCTTTCATCTCCTTGTCCAGCATTTTCCTAATCTACTGGCTTATTTTATTTGGACACTGTAACGACTGTAAAGTAGAGTTTTCTTATTATTTCCCATTGTTAGGGGAGATTAAGAAAAATAACAGGGGTGGTGTGACAAAATACCCTGAAACCCTGTGATTCTCCTAAGCCCAAGTTATTTTCCCCTTGATTCTGTAGTTCTATTTACCAAACGCAGACCACCTCATTATCTTCAAAGTAACCGCAAAGTTAAGTGCTCTCTCTAGGCAGCCACAGTTCGTATAACCGAATAACACGTGTGCTGGAAAACGGCAGCCATCTTGTCCCTCGAACACAGAACTTGGTCTTCGAGTGTCTGGAACTCAAAGCCGAAAACTATAACTCGCGAACACCGGTAACTCTGTACCACCGCCTGCCTATGTTCCTGACAAAAGAGGAGAGCGCTATTCGGTGGAAAGGTATGAGCGAACTAGACGAACAATTGCTACCTATGAGCCAGGGGAACAGGGGTATTTTGCTCGTTTTGGAACTCCGAAGGTGACTGACAGCTACTCCTTTTCTTCTGCAACTAATCTGGTCAGGCGCTCAAAACTTTACCTTGGTGGCGATTCTGCTGTATTTGTGGGATCTGAGTGCTATTTGGACACTTTGGGCACTCAGATCCAGGCTATTCGGGGATATGACTTGTGGGGGTTCCTAATAATATTGTGTATGTTTTGGGGTGTTTTATGTTTTATTCATTGCCTGGGAGATAATTAGTTTAAGTAAAGTAGATTCACTTATCTCCCAGACACAGAGACGCCTGGGCGTGTTTTACCTTTATTTTTGCTGGAGACCTGGGGGTCTGTGTATAAAAGTGGGCCATCTGGCCATAATAAAGCATTCCTGTTGTACCCTTCATCAAGTCTCGACTGATGTTTGAGTATGCAAATGACGAAGAGCTATAAATCACACAACCTTCCAGGAGTTCGGAACAGTGCAAACGAACATACCACACGAGGTACATGAGGTTCGTTACAAGTGGTGGGAGAAATAAGTAGGGAAGTCAGAGAGGAAACGTTAAAGGTGCCCTAAGAAGAAATAACTACGGTGGAGGGATAGATAACTTGTAGTACAAAATAACTAGCTCGGCCCCTCTCACCCATACTAACTAACTAAACCCACTATAACTACATTCCCTACCCCCCCATTACCTTCACTCACAAACTACTTCTTACTTATACTAACTAACTAAACCCTCTATAACTACATTCCCTACCCCCATTACCTGCACTCACAAACTCCCTATTACCTATACTAACTAACTAAACCCTCTCTATCTAAACTCCCAACCCCTTCTCACTTGCACTCAATTAGCCCTCTCTGACCTGTACTCCCTCCATCATCCCCAGTCATGTTGCCCTAAATGTTTCATTCTTTCATGTAGACTCACCTGGTACAGAGTCTGCTTCTCGACCAGTCGGTACGGAGCCGAGTCAATGTTTAACTCTTCCATGGATACTACCTCATTCAGCTGCTGGCATTCCCACTCTTCCACCTGAAACACACACTCACTATGAACTCCCCATCCACAGTCCCGTTCCATCCAAGTGAAAGATCCCAGGTTACACAGAAATCAGTAGTGCACAAGGATTCAGATGCATTTCTTTGAAAACCAATTCTAAACAGCATTTAGTCTTTAGATCACTACTCCCCCCTCTAGTTCTAGCATTCATTGTCTACATGCAGGGACAATTAATATTTACCAGGGCTTCATTAGGTCCCTCTACATCTATACAGATGGACTGTAAATGGCGACATTCCGTCCTTCCATACTATACTACAACCTTTGCAGGTCAAACTGCATGACGAGAATGAGCTTCCTGCAAAGCCCTATACGATCTATAGAACTGGAGATAAACTCCTATTTACATCTCTGAGAAATCTGTTATATGGTTACCTGAGATATGCTTATCTTTACAGTAATAAGACTGTAACAAAAGCCAATATTTGTTTCAATGATGAACGAATAACAGAAAAATTACAATATTGTAAAATTACGGTTGTTTACTTTTTTTTACACATCCCTGAACCCTGTGTTTATGAGCTACCTATGCATCTCATGTTTC